CCCCCCTAAGACAGCGCCCCCCTGCACAGCGGGGTCAGCAGGGCCCTTCGTTACGCCACTGATCAGAAGTGTTTTCTGCATAGGTAATATCATGCTATTCCAGCTTTATTAGGGGAGCAGCATAATTGTTTAACCTAAATTACATTTTTGTTAAGCGTCACTTAGTAAAATAAGTGAAACAACAATGTTAGATCTACTCACCTCTACAGTTGTATCTAAATTTTATCACATAATTAGTAAGAAGATAAAAAGGTCATTTTAACAATATTTACATTTAATCAAATCAAGTGTTGCATTTAGTAGAGCACATTACATAGAGAATCGTTAAGAGTAAGGAAAGGTTCACCAATAATCTAGTTTGTTTAATAATTAATATTCAAGGTAGGATTCTAGTGGCGTAACGAAGGGCCCCCCGACCCCGCTGTGCGGGTGGCGCCATCTTAGGGATGGCGCCAAATTGTTGTTTGAATGTGGGACAATTTTGAATAACTTAACAGAGGTACTAGCAAAACTGTGCGTTTTGCTCTAGAAACACACTTTGAAACACACAGGCAACGTTACGTCACTGTAGAATTCCATAATAATATTTATTTACGGTTTCACACTCAACAGGAGTCTTGCTTCATCACCTTTGCACGTCAAGCAATCAAAGTGTATATCGATAAAGTTCACAGTAAGTTTTAAAGTACAATTCAATCGATAAATATTTGAGTGCAAAATCGAAAAACGCTTATTAGATGAAATTAATAATAATTAGTAAAGGTGCCCACTGCAACGAGCAGTTCAGACCATTACCCAAGCAACAACCATTTCATGATGACAATAGGGGGTGTTTATTACTAACGTAAATTACAATCTAAAGAACATAGAATCAAGAATATTTTTTATTTTCTAGATAAAGACATCGTTCCTTTTTTTATGACACAGTAATTTATTGACACTCACAGCTATAATTTTAATCATTGAATCAGTATTTTTATCTATTAACTTATTACACATTTGTGCTCTGCTTTAGCATCACTTGACTATTAAAAAAAATTGTTTGTTCAGGCCATGACCTTATAGTCAGCCAATTGGCCATTGCTATATTATGTGTATATTGTTTGAATATTCTTTCTGATAAAGAGATTGTTCGTAAATTTGAAATTGTCAGTCGATACATTTTCCACTATGCTTTAAGTTGGGTGATAGTGCAAATACTTGACTTTTGACAATTGTACTGAAAAGGACCACATAATTGGTTGTCAGAGCCCTTGGTGACACATTGTGAGTATTTCCTATTTTCAATCCACATATTACATATTAGCCGTAATATTGCGATAGCAGATATATTATGGCGAGGTTAATATTTGAATAAATTTTCCAAAATTAGATGTGACCTTTGTTAGTTTAGTAGTATAGAGGGCCTCATGAACATTTTCTGCTCGATACGCTGAGACAGATATACTTATTTACACTTATTTTGACCATATAACTGATTGCAGTTGATCCTAAAATGGAGTGTTGTTCTCAAATAAAAATTGAGAAAAGAGATTTTTGACCAAACGTTATATATATTAAGCAAACAGTATATTTTAAATTTTTGAATATGTTAATTCTTGTTAATAACGGGTGATACTAATAAAATATTTGTTCCAAATATTATACCATCGACGAGTCCAACTTGGCGCGCGTCTTGGTAGGTTATAATGTATAAACCTACAAAATTCTTGTAGGGTATCAAAAAATAACATAAATGATAAAGCTGAAATAAAAGCAGCCACTCAGTATTATATTTAGATTTAGCAGTTTTTCAGAGATTTAAATTTTTTAAAAAATTTGACATTCATTTGCGCACATTTTATTAAGCTTTTTACTTTTATCGAATTTTTAAAAAGTACTTTCGTGTTTGTTTTATTGTGTCTATTTCAATCTTTGCTCTGAGAATTTATTTTTTCTAGTTAGCTAATCTATTGCTCGCTTTTAGTTAACCGATAACCTAGTCTAGAGTGCGACGTGAAAAGGGTGCGCCGCGCACGCCGCGCGACATAAAATTTGACAATCAACTTGGAAAGTATTGTCTACAAAATGTTTATTTAAAATATTTTTAGAAAAATTAATGCAATTTTACTGTTGACACATTTATTTAATGCCCAGGAAAAGTTACCGGCTGGTGGTGGTACTAGAGTTGGTTTAATTTAAACAGACGGCTTGACCTCGCGCGCGACAACAAGCATGATTTGCACGCGTGGCGTATTCCAACGAGCGTGCTAAATCACTCTACAGTCGATCTACGAGATTGTTCTAAAGGGGTCCCCGACAGTTGAAACCAACTTCAATCGATGTATTTTTGGACGCTGATTCCGAATCACCCCCCATGACATAGGGTTAAAATGCTCCCCTGACGAGATATTGGCGAAAAACTGTCTTGATCACGTGATATGACCGTATAAGGAAGTTAGTCTAATTTCTCGATAGGGTTAGGGTTTCAGCATATGCTTTTGTTAAGGATTGGGTTAGGGTTAGGGTTGGGATCAGATTACAGGGTTAAATTTTCGAATAGTCGTTCAGGACCAGCTAGAGAAGGGGTTGAAAAAGTCACGTGACAGTCGAGTGTAGAGTGATTAATCATCATCCGTATTCCAATGTTCAGGCAGCTACCACGTGACACAATTCAGCCAACCAGAGTACAGGAATCCGCAAAGTTAAAGTTGCAAACTTTTGATCGGCCCGAAAGGGGACTTTTCTGGAGATTTTGAGATAACTCAACAATTACGTTGTCTTGAATTTTCCTCCTGGAGAGGTAACGTTACTTTTAAAAGAGGAACATGTTACAAAAAACCGGAAGTCTCCAACTCTTTTACTTTCAAAGTTAAGCCCCATCCGGTCAGGGTTCCTGGGTGTAACGTGATGCACTACTGGGCCATGCTGCGCATTCAATAATCAATCAATGAAACACAAATTTTAATTTTGAGCACATTTACATAATCGATTAATTTATAACAATTCACTAAAATATATTGCTTATTCTGTGCACAAATTTTTAAAAAAATTACTATTAATTGTATTGTGAAAGGTCAAATTGACGGATGTTACTCGTCTAAATTTCTTCGAAGTAGCGCGCGCCGCTTTCTTCTCGAAATGTTATGGCCCGATGGCAAGTGCTACGAACTAGCGCGCGCCGGCCCAATTATTAACAATGGTCAAAAGGTCAGACAACTAAGTTAAAAAATCTAAATGCCTAAAATATAATACAAATTTTTGCATACACCGAAACGCTATTTCAAAGAGTTTTTTTGAAGACAAGGCTAATTTTAGAACCAAATTGTAGGTTTACAACCTACCAGGACGCGCGCCGAGTTGGATTCGTCGACGGTCCAATATATGGAACAGATATTTTACGAGTATCACCCGTTAAGGAATAAATAACAATTGTATTGTTAGGAGACATTAAGGGTTTTGTTTAAGGTTGTTATTATAGATTGCAGGCTTGTTGTGACAAAAACTCAACATTATAATGTGATTGCTCTATCCAGAGCCCTTGCCCTTGCAGTAGTGAAACAAGCGTGCCCGCAGTGGCGCGAAAGCACATGGTCAGGGAAAATAATATGATTCAATTATTGTTTGAATACTAATTTCTCTCCCATTAAAGTGACCATCATTCATTGGATGGAAAAGATTGTGGCCTTTGTACCAACTATTAATTTCATTATACTTCCATCTCAAGTACAGTATACTTGATACAATTTATAATTCAATTATAATCAAGTGATGCAATAATAGCAAAGCACAATACACAGGTAACGGAAAGTTATTCATTGCTACCAATATCAAATATTATACGAAATATCAACAATTAAATATATGCACATCTACTCCACCATAGGGGCAAGGATGAGGTGACAAACCGCTTGCACTCTTTAGCCTTGCCTCCAGATGTTAGAAATACAGCCTCGTGGGTTAATGTGGCCTTCTTAACATTCAACACTCTTCAAGTGCCCATCCCTCTTCTCATTGTCGTTCTCTTGGTATACTTTTTGAAGAGTCTTTGTCCTGTTTGATAAGCAATTGGGGTGTGAAACCCTTGTGACAAGAAAGGCCTCATCAAATGGAGTCCAAACTCCTCTAGCAGATATGTCAAGCCGAGCTTGGTCACCTGTTATAGTCTTGGGGTTGAGACAGCCACCCTCGTTTACCTTCTGTAGCTGGGGTTTAACTTTCACATCATGACATACCTCACGCAGGAGATTAGCCATTGTGCCTCTGATGTGATTCAATCACAAGTTACATTTTTTTAAATGCAAAAATATAGACTCCTTTATTGAAACCTTCTCAATGGTTGCAGACACATGCTTTACTCTTATTTAATATATTCACCAGACAAGACTTCAAGGAAAATACTAGATCATGAAATTTAGTTAAGATGTGGGGGACCCCCACGATGTGGTTTTAGAAAGATACAATTTTTCCAGTCAAAACTGGCATGGTGTAACGAAGGGCCCCGCTGACCCCGCTGTGCGGGGAGGGGGGGGGGGCCAAATCGTCGTTTGACTGTGGGACATTTTCGAAAACTTAACTAAAGTTCTAGCAAAACTGCGCGTTTTGCTCTAGATACACACCTTTTCAGAGATTTTACCGGTGTATCCTCTAAAATCACCTACTTTGTTCAATTTCAGGGAGGGGCACCAAAATGGGAGGGGGCGCCAACAGGGGGGTGCTTTTTCGGCGGAGGCACCAACAGGCAACGTTACGCCACCGAAGAGAAGAGAGCCATATATGGTTAAATGCGGGGATATAGCGTGTGCTTTAAATAAAACTGTTTTATTAATATTCTATCACCTGTAGCTATTCCCTACCCATTATTGGTTATCGCATAGTAAAGGAATTAGACATTTTAAATTTCAGAAAATCTTAGTTTGCTGTAAAAAAGTGGATAAATCTCTTGTGATTGAGTCAGATTTATTTAGAAAAAGGATGAATATAATGATAAATGAATATAATCTGATTTGTTCCATTGTAAGCGATGGCAGAAGAGGAGCCACCATTGTACAAAGATGTACCAGAGAACTCAGGAGCACCTCCGCCAACCTACCAGTCTGATGTGGCTGCTGAGGAAGCTCGTCCTGTAAGTAATCATATTACAATTATCTTTGCTCCAAACAAATCCTTGACAGCATTGTGAGATTATGTCATTCAGTGGATAATTTCATTGATTTAAATCTAGAGATTGTTGCCACGATAGATGTCTTTTTATGAAAGAGGCAAGAGCAGTGACGTTTCTGCCATCTTGACAACATGTTTACATAATGGGCAGTTTAAGCGCATATTTATGTGAGGGGTTTTGTAGTTTTAATTGTTGTAAATCGGCTCAATATAAGAATTGTCACTTATAATGCTTCCTGGAATTCGATAGAATTTGCTGCAGAAGGTTTAGATCACGACAGGCTCTGTAACCTAATCATCTGTTATTCCATATACGGTTTATTACCCATCAAAACAATAATTGGGTTATCCCCAAGACATTATACAATTTAACTCTGCACCGCTGACAAACTGTTTTAAACTTCAATCTTAACCGATAGCTTAAGGTATCAACTTTCAGATTCAACCTCCATAATCTTTATATATGCAATGTATGTTGATAATCTTGCATGCACAAATTTCAAATATTTATTGATGCATAAACTTTAATTTCATCTTTTAAGCAAAGCTATCACGTTGTATCTATGAAACTCCTATAACTCATTATCACTCCTGTGACATTTACAGCAAAACTCGAGCATGATGTAAACTGTAAAGATGTAATTCAGAATAACGGGTTCTTAATCCTAAACGATATTTAAATGGCTGTCAAGAGATGGCTAAAAAACCATTAGTAACCTCTAGAACTGCTATATAAGTGCGAATCTACTTTCAGCAGTTCCTATTTAGAGGTCATGTTATTTGCGAAGCTATGTTACTTTACCGTACATTCTAGAGACCACTTTTATGGGGCATTTGATTACTGTGAGCAGATTTTCCATAAAAATATCATACGATGATATGCTTTTTTTAAATATCACAATCTGACATTATATTATTACATTAGTAAATGTCAATATATATCTGTTTTAGAGTACCCAGGTTAAACGCCTGGTCCCTTATCAGGGACCTTATGTTGGATCAAATCTCCAGGTTAGGTCAGATCTCCTGGTCCATATAAGATAATATCAAGATATGCCCTCAAAGTAAAACCACGGGGTAATGTAGCACTCTGCACTGATATAGTAAAGCTAATACATAGTAGTACTTAGTAGCTGTTTCGAGATCTCATTCAGATTTCTAGGGTAACGTGCCTCTAAGGAGAAGAGATAAGGTCCCTCTCAACCAGGGCCGCTAAGATACACTATTTTAACTAATCATATTTCAGGTTATGTCCGGTACAGAACCCCCTCCCTCCTACGACTCACTGTTTGGTAAGATAAAAGAGGCACGAACAGAACATGGCAACAGTTTCGGTTTCTTTAAGGCTTTGTTGGCAATCCTAGGGGCTGCCATTGGAGGTTAGTTCAAAACAACGGTGCACACTGATCACTGTAATATTATTATAGTCGTTATTATCTGGATGTTAATATATTGGATTTATTTACACCATTTTGTTCGAGATAAATAGGACAAGGCACGAAATTAAACATTAAAGAATAATCAACTAATAAATTTGTTTAAATGCAATGATTTGATCATTCGTGTTATTTCAAAGAGATTCAAACAATTGAGTCCAAGTAAATACTACTTTTTGAGTAACAATAATAATAATAATTTTCTATTTGCTAAGTCATATAATATGCACTTTGTGATTGTTTCTCCCGTTTTTCTTCCCTTGCGTTGCAAGCCCTGTATCTTGTAAAAACAACCACTTTTGTAGATACACACAGTCTCTACGCCTTTGTCCTCTGGTCCCTAGGGTCAGCTGACTCCGGGCCAGAGGAAAATTACTGATTGCCAAGGTTTGATGCCTAAGCAGTCGAGATCTCTTATTGAGACCCGATTTAATAATAAATTGAAGTTTAATAACACCACTTTTAAGATAAAACTTATACTCAGCAGTGTTTAATCTAAAATCAAGTTATTAAATACTGAACTAACTCTCACCCCCCCCCCCCCCCAGGTATCGTATGTGTAGCGTGTGTCGCCGCCCTGATGGCATTCCCTATCGCCCAGCTGGTTATAGGACTCCAGAACCAGGATCAATGTACCATTAACAATAAGATCCCCCTCTTCCTGATAGTCAGTGGGGCTTGTGGGTGTGCTGCGGCTGTTCTTCAGATAATGGATCAGATGTGTTGTAGTGATACAGACAGCAGTGGAGAGAGTGAGTTTTATTTCTCTACATCATATTCAACATATTTAACATGTTTAACATATTTAACATATATTTAACATATTTAACGTATTTAACGTATTTAACGTATTTAACATATCTACATAATATTTAACACGCCATATATCTTTGATTAGATTCATCATAGTTCAGAGCAGATATATGTTAAGAGAAATGTTGAAATGTTGATTTGGTCGGTAAACTTTTTTATAATGAGTCTGAGTGTGACATGTCCCGTATTATATTGGTAAAGCTATTCCGACTACGTTGCTATTTGACACGCTGAACAGCCGAACAAACGCACCAGCTCGTACCTGACACCTCCCTGTCGTGTACCATTCTGTTCTTATTGTACCTAGCCAGGTCATTATATACCCAAGACTGTCCTTTGTGATTATAGTTGTATTGTTGAATCGATTAATTGAACTCCAAAATCGCTGTTGCATGTCCAATATCCATTATAATGAAGGGTATTGTTGAAACTTTCTCTCGTTGCCTCAAATCTACAGATTATTTCTTTTCAATAGCTTAATTTATAGAGCATTAGGTCGGGATGATAAAAATTTAAATCCGGGTTTCAAGTACAATTCATCCGTAGGGCGGTACACATTCTGGGAAACACGTCTCATCTGAAATAACCAGAAAATATCATTTGATAAGAATCGATCTGAAAAAAAATGTTCAGCCTCTGTTCCAGGAATTTGTTCGATCGAAATTGTAATTCTGGAAATCTATTTGCAGTAATCGAATTCATATAACGAATTCTTTCAAAAGTATATGCAGTCATATATCTCTTGAGATGTATTGAATAATATGTACTCTATTTGACCTGTCTTTCTTCAAGGTAAAGATTAAAGAAGGTGTTTGAAAATATCACCAATTTATGAAAATTTTGCGGTATAATTATTAATGATCATATTATTATCCTTATTTCAATTCGACGCCAACATTTTGAAAAAAATGTGGCTAAGATGGGAGTGGTTTATTTTTGGCAGCTAGCCTAAATCTTTTTAGCTCCTATAAGCTGATGTTGAAACAGGTTCAAATATTGTTGGAAAGGTGTGGTGTTTAAGTAGTTGTAGTTTATACAAATAAAAGTCTAGTAAACATTACAAAATATGTACCTAAACTACTATACCTCGCATTAGTAAACCAGACCCAAATTAATGGATTTTGAGAAAAAATTCGACCTTTCAATGTATCCACAGCCAATATTACAGCGACCGTATTTTTCAAGGAATATTTTCGTCAGAGTAAGCTAAAGGAAACTCCAGCTTGTAAATGAAATACTTTAATGTGCTCAAATATGGATTACTAGAACTGTTCTCAGCAAGTTTTAAAGCACGTCACAAGCTGAGTACATTCTATCAAGTTTCGAGATAAGGTTGCCAAAATAATCATAATAATGTAATTAAACAACATAATAATGTAATTTAACAACAAAATTATGTAAATTAACTTATAACTAATAATAATGTAACTTAATAATAATGTAACTTAAGGTTGTTATGTATGAGATATTGGATGTATTTTAATGGTAGTATTATATCGTCAAGGTTTGTAGTAGTTATATTAGTGTAGTTAATGATATTTCTTAATTGGCTTACTTAACAGCTCACTATGTAACCAGAGCGACAAGCTTGAAACTGGCTGGAGGGGGTTCGTAGTCCTCCAGCGGCCAGCATAACAAACCTGTGCTTCATTTGTTAATATCCTAAGAAATCCTATAGATCGAAAGGGAGATTTAAATTCAGGCTGTGATTTCCAGAATAATCCAAGTTAATTGTAAGACTTAAATAGTTACTTTCTAATTTAAATAGTTTGAGCTGTAATCGTAACTAGTCCAGATTTAGCGGATGTTTCAATTCAACCCGGAGTACGGGGTCGGTTTTAGAGCTATCTGTCCTCACTGTCCTCACTGTCCTCTAGTTGTCAGTATTGCTTTGTGTTAACCTGTTTCCTGATCGAACATTTTCTTATTACATCTGTTTCGTGTGGCTGACTGTGATTCCAATACAATCGATTCTAAACTGTGTATTTTACATTCAAGATTAACACAGTACACACTAAGGGTCGGTGTGCACTATGCAATGTTCACTATGCAATGTTCACTATGCAATGTGCACTATGCAATATGCACTATACAATATGCACTATGCAATGTTCACTATGCAATGTGCACTATGAACTGTGCACTATGCACTATGCAATATACACTTTGCACTATGCACTGTGCACTAGCACTGTGCATTCTTTTCTACCAGTTTACAGTAATTCACGCTCAGATGACTGGAATGTACCAAGCATGTGCTAGAATTGAAGGCTATGTTAAATTACGAAAAATGTTGAACAATTCAAAGCTGATTTACTCAAATTATGCTCCTAAGTGTACGTAAGAATGTTATTCAGTTCTTGGTTGATTTGTCGAGCTGGCTCAGATACTATGTAAACAGGTGTGACCTAGCTTATCATTTTGTACAGCCTCAAATTCATCATGATAAGTTATAAGATAAGGATTTACTAACGTTACTTCAACTGTTACTAATGTTACTAATGATCAGAGCTATGATTTGAAGGTGTTTTAGGTGAACAATGGTTATTGTATGTGCAGACACAGCAGGCAGACATAATACCGACTACCATAATACCACATGTCTATAGTTAATCAAATTTACAAGTGTGACTAGTGTCACACTCTTATTTCAGAAAAAAGAATTACGAAGTTTGAAAATAAAATGTGAAAGTGCATGCGGCATGGATAAGAGTCAATATCTCTTATTTCTGTATTGTTCTTTATTATTTCTTAACGCTATCATTACCTTCATTAATGCTATCATTACCTTCACAGTTCATATAATAAGTCACACATTATAGAATAGAGATGCACAGTGCACAGTGCAAACGCAATACCATATACTGTTTGCTGCACCTTTAAATGAACTTGGTCAGTACTCATCAGGGTAGTACTCACTACTCAGCAGGGTAGTACTCACTACTCAGCAGGGTAGTACTCACTACTCAGCAGGGTAGTACTCACTACCCAGCAGCTCAGGGTAGTACTCACTATTCAGCAGGGTAGTACTCACTACTCAGCAGGGTAGTACTCACTACTCAGCAGGGTAGTACTCACTACCCAGCAGGGTAGTACTCACTACTCAGCAGGGTAGTACTCACTACCCAGCAGGGTAGTACTCACTACCCAGCAGGGTAGTACTCACTACCCAGCAGGGTAGTACTCACTACCCAGCAGGGTAGTACTCACTACTCAGCAGGGTAGTACTCACTACTCAGCAGGGTAGTACTCACTACTCAGCAGGGTAGTACTCACTACTCAGCAGGGTAGTACTCACTACCCAGCAGGGTAGTACTCACTACCCAGCAGGGTAGTACTCACTACCCAGCAGGGTAGTACTCACTACCCAGCAGGGTAGTACTCACTACCCAGCAGGGTAGTACTCACTACCCAGCAGGGTAGTACTCACTACCCAGCAGGGTAGTACTCACTACCCAGCAGGGTAGTACTCACTACCCAGCAGGGTAGTACTCACTACCCAGCAGGGTAGTACTCACTACTCAGCAGGGTAGTACTCACTACTCAGCAGGGTAGTACTCACTACTCAGCAGGGTAGTACTCACTACTCAGCAGGGTAGTACTCACTACTCAGCAGGGTAGTACTCACTACTCAGCAGGGTAGTACTCACTACTCAGCAGGGTAGTACTCACTACTCAGCAGGGTAGTACTCACTACTCAGCAGGGTAGTACTCACTACTCAGCAGGGTAGTACTCACTACTCAGCAGGGTAGTACTCACTACTCAGCAGGGTAGTACTCACTACTCAGCAGGGTAGTACTCACTACTCAGCAGGGTAGTACTCACTACTCAGCAGGGTAGTACTCACTACTCAGCAGGGTAGTACTCACTACTCAGCAGGGTAGTACTCACTACTCAGCAGGGTAGTACTCACTACTCAGCAGGGTAGTACTCACTACTCAGCAGGGTAGTACTCACTACTCAGCAGGGTAGTACTCACTACTCAGCACTGCTGAGTAGTGAGTACTACCCTGCTGAGTCAGCAGGGTAGTACTCACTACTCAGCAGGGTAGTACTCACTACTCAGCAGGGTAGTACTCACTACTCAGCAGGGTAGTACTCACTACTCAGCAGGGTAGTACTCACTACCCAGCAGGGTAGTACTCACTACCCAGCAGGGTAGTACTCACTACCCAGCAGGGTAGTACTCACTACCCAGCAGGGTAGTACTCACTACCCAGCAGGGTAGTACTCACTACCCAGCAGGGTAGTACTCACTACTCAGCAGGGTAGTACTCACTACTCAGCAGGGTAGTACTCACTACTCAGCAGGGTAGTACTCACTACTCAGCAGGGTAGTACTCACTACTCAGCAGGGTAGTACTCACTACCCAGCAGGGTAGTACTCACTACCCAGCAGGGTAGTACTCACTACCCAGCAGGGTAGTACTCACTACTCAGCAGGGTAGTACTCACTACTCAGCAGGGTAGTACTCACTACTCAGCAGGGTAGTACTCACTACTCAGCAGGGTAGTACTCACTACTCAGCAGGGTAGTACTCACTACTCAGCAGGGTAGTACTCACTACTCAGCAGGGTAGTACTCACTACTCAGCAGGGTAGTACTCACTACTCAGCAGGGTAGTACTCACTACTCAGCAGGGTAGTACTCACTACTCAGCAGGGTAGTACTCACTACCCAGCGATGTTTGTTAGCTGCAGTCGCCCCAAAGTAATGATGAGATAAATCTTACAATTATTGGAAGTAGTCATGGAAAGCGTGAAAACGCCTCGAGGTGGGTCGTTTTCATGCTTTCCATGACTACTTCAGGGTATTCTAGTGTACACTCATTTGAAAAATGTAATGTTTCCCTCATCTCAAAATTATGAATGGAAGGTATCAATGGAAGGCTGATATAATCAATGTAAACCAGATTGACATGTCTACATTCCACAACGTACCGTACCTGGACTCTAAATCCAATTTGGTTTAAGCTAAATGCCGGGTATTATATAGCTCTCTCCCAAATTATGTCACAATTCTCAGGGCTGACAATGAAATTAGGTGCTCTGTAGAGTGAGTGTACACAGAGTAATCACATGTGTGTGTTACCATGTGGCCAGGTAGCAGTCTACTGCTGTCTACTATACACTGTGTAGTAGACACTGTGTAGTACACAGTGTGTAGTACACACTCCTTCCTATCTTATTATTAGTTGAGTACCAGAATAATCCCTCAGTGTCACTTGTTATGATAACTTTGTGTGTAATAAAAGACTGTCAGCCCCACGTAATGTACAGTAGCTAACTACTGACTGTTGTGAACTAGTACAGGTAGAGATTGTGTAGAAGATAGTGCTAAATACACAGAAAGTCGGGGTGGCCACCTGTGTAGTACTAGTGACTAGTGTACTTATGATATCAACATACAGGGAACTGTGTGGCTGTGTTACTCTGTGTGACTCTGTGTGACTCTGTGTGACTCTGTGAGACTCTGTGAATCTGTGACTGTGTGACTCTGTGATCTGTGACTCTGTGACTGTTTGTACGTGTGCGTCTCTAAAAGTCTATACCGCAGCTGCTTGTGTTTACATTGTAAGGAATGTACCCGCGCTCCTTTGTAAATATCTTTTATTTGTATTGTTGATATCCGTAATACACCATGTGAGCCGTGAGGCGTCTGCTTTGATTGCCGTTAAGTTATGCATATTGCATAATTTGTGTATTTATTGCATAGTATGTATAATTATGACAAACGAAAGCTCCTGTATACATTTTCTTGTTTCGCTATTCACATAATTTTGTAAAGAATCTTACAATAAAGAAAAGTAAGTTTAAGAACTGAACCATGTGTCTCAGTAGTAACTGGTAGCTTCAATTATATACGGCTACTTAGATAAAACGAGGAGCTCACATTTCAACTTATTGAGCACTCTCAATCATCAGCTCAACAGCGCAACAGCGCAACATGGGCAACCAGCTGTAGCCCTTATAACATTCTAGAACTGCGAGGTATATATACACTGTACCATAAGCTGCTGTAATGAGGATGAAGCTGTGGTATTGTATATGATTATGGTGGCTGTGGCCTGTGTGATGCTTCTTAAATTGTGTGCTTCTTAAGTCGTGATTATTCCGTACATATCAACAAACAGTACTATACATTTTCACGTGACAAGCAGAAATTTGAAATGTTTGTGTTTCGCAGGGCTTCCGGGGAAACGCACATTTGTTGTCCTTGTGAAAATTATAGTCGCGCATTGAAATTACAAAGTTTATAAGGCAGACGAAGCGCATTAATTCGATTAATATTTTACTTAATGGCAGTGGTAGTAAACAGGAACTATTCAGCTAATTCTGTTCACGTAATTGACTTATTGTCAACCAGTTTATTAGATTATGTGACACGGTAATTTTGGTATTATTTTAGGCAGCAAATTATTACGATGAGTACAAAAATACTACATCAACTAGCGCGGTTCGATATAATGTGCCTACTGCGTACAATAAAATGTTTTATTAAAATCATTCAATGCTATTATAATCCCTCACAAAGCGGCATTCGCATTATTTGAAGTATAAAAACTGTGAGATCCAAAGAGAAGCATATCTTTCCTATGACAATATTAACATTAAAATACAACGTATTATTCATGTAATCTAGCGGTGGAAAGATAAGTCTACTTAAGATGTACCTTAGATCAGATTACGTCCATAACATCATTGCATCCACCAAAAGTAACTTACCGTGTGCCTATGTTACTCGCCTACAAGCACCAATATCATCACTTCGCTACTGCTTAATTAGTTACATGTTACATGTTACGCTGGGAGGCGTTTAATTAGTAGGGGCTGATAAATAAGGCGGCTCCTTCAACTGGGCCATCTTCTTCAACATGATTCTCGTTGCGATTCATTTCCTAGTCTCGTGTTTTACTGTTCCACCCGCAATTACGGCAATTTCTTTCCCGTAGAATGTGAGAATTCTTCTAAAGATGAGAATTGAGTAGAAATTTACTAAACTTGAGGATCTAGCAACTGCTACGTTGCTCACAACGCGGCTACTGTTTGCTCATATTGTGGATTATATACTGGTGGTCGGGTACTGGCGGTGTTTTGTCTTGTTAAATTGAACCAAGTGCTAAAAATATATTATACATGTTATAGCACAGTACAAGCGAAGTGCTCTGTTTTACTCGGATAAGTCAGAAGGAAAGGAGTAGATTTCCCCATCTAGCTAATTTGGGTTAATAGATAAAAGTGCCGTCACCAATTCCCACAGGTTTTTCTTACCATCCTGTAGTTAGACATGTAGACCCGATGGCGCGGTGTTGGGTCTGATTTCAACCTAGACTATAATATAGACTAGAGCTAGGGTTGTATCATGTATACAGAAAAGCAGACGAGTGTTTTACATTCACTAGCACACTCAATAGTGTTTCCGGATTATTACACTACATATTGGATTACAGGACAGACACAACCAAGTGTATTATATAATAATGACACAATAACTCAGTGATGATCAGGAATACTACAGGGACATTATAAGTGACAATAATAACAGTGCCATTACACTAATTGTGGCACAACTACACTACGATACTAATTACACTTTACAGTGACACTGACTAGACTCTACACTGTACACTCTATTAAGTTACACTAATATTTCAGGAAGGAGCAAGTGTCCGTGTCTAGGTTTTATCCTTCATCTCTTGAATCTCTTCTGTTTTGCTTGGTTCATCTGCGGTAACGTGTGGGTCTACAAAATTCACAAGACTGTCGACTACGGTGAGATTACATTTATTACACTTTCATTTAAAGTGATTTTTATCTTCGCCTTTATCTTATCTTCTTATCTGTAAAATTGTCGGTTGAATATTATTCAGCGTGTAAGACTGAAAGGGTTTTAGTAAATAGGTTGTGTACTTTTCTGTAGGATATGAAAACAGTTTTACTCAAAGAGTCAAAGTCCTATTTCGTCACGTTCTTTGACATTATATTTAGAATTTTCTCGGGTTCGCTGTATCATTTTCAGTGAGGAAGAGAAAGATATGAGGAGTATCGAATTTCTCTCTTTTGATTATACAATATGTATTGTTTACCGGTTAGTTACAAAAATGAAATAATAAAAAACCACATTCCAGACGACCCTGCATCAGAAGAGTATTGTGGGAAGCTAGTGTACTTGTTTGCGTTCTGGAGTATTACTGCAGTGTACGTAGCACTAGGGGCCACGTGTGTCATAGGATGTGGCTGTGTCTGCCTTATGGCATGTCTTGGTTAAAGTTAATTGACAGGGTTTTTGAAGCAGGATTATAAATGAATCAGAAGATTGTTAAATGTATATTTTAGTTGTGTTGAAATAGTTCTGGATTGTTATTAGCATTTAAACGTGACTGTTTTTCCACGTCAAAGTTAGAAATTTTACTAATTTACTTTTAATTGTAAATCCTGTGCACATTTTCTTTTAATTTCTTGTAAGTGCAATTACTGCTTGATTATCATTAGGATTAACGAATAACCTTTTTTTACACACAGAAGATTCACACTCATTTTATCACGGTTTATTGATTGCAAATTTACATGATATCTATGGTTTTAGGTTTCTAGAAGACGTAAATAAAATGTTTATATCTTAAACGATGTATCTTCTAATACTGTTTTGAAATAGATTGAAATAATCCGTGGCTTATTTATTATCATGCTGGAAATTAGACGTTGTGTCTATCACAAGAATTGTTGTAGCAAAATCTTTAGCTACAATCAAAGCAGTGAACGTCATTGCCATGTCTAGGTGTAAACTGTTGGCAAGGTAAAATTTGCACCGCCTAAACTACGGTGCCCGGTGCTATCGCCCGATTGACACACTAATAGTTCCTGCTCAATTTAACGTAACCTTGTAAACACTGTAGGGAATAGTAAGCTTATAATTGTGATAGAACGAAACTTAAAGGTTAGCCCATCAAGCTAATATGCCAATTAGGCAACCTTGACAATATACTGGTACAGTGTTTATGGAGCGCGCGTCGCCGAACCGCTAATTCGTGTGATTGTTGGCGCAAATAAATATAAACAAGCGCGCGCGCGCCCAAGACGACAACTATATATTCAATTTAATATTAAGCTGCGAAGTCCTCTTGTCATGTCATACGTTGTATGACCCGCCGCGCACGAGTGCGCGGCTCCCCCTGTATCGTTGAAACTCACTAAAGTGAAACGACCGTGGGGGTCACGATGTGATACAAAAGTCCTCCAACAAGCGAAAAAGCTCTATTTACACTGGTTAGACCAAATATTACGTTAATTGACGATGTCAATTCATGGCAGCTCGGCGCGGCACAGTAGCGCATCTCGCCGATCTAGTCGCTGTGAGAAGCCTCATTGAGTCCGCGGTACAGTAACGCATCGCGCTACAAATATTACGTAATCATGGCCTACTGGGCCGCGCTCAGCCTGTCATTCCGCCGAATCTCTATGAACTTACTGGGCCTCGCTCAGCCTGTCATTCCGCCAAATCTTTATTCTAATGAACATAATAGCCTGGGGTCCTCAGGTAACTATGAACATGATAGCCTGAGGTCCTCAGGTAAATCATGGCCTGATGACCCCTTCACCTTTCTTTTTTTACTTTTTCCTTCACCTAACCATGTGCTTTCGCGCCACTTCGGGCGCGCTTGTTTCACAAGTCAAGAAAGGCGGGCGCGCGCTACTGAGGCGGGCGCGCGCTACTGAGGCGGGCGCGCGCTACTGCAAGCGCAAGGGCTCTGGATAGAGCAAACTTTTCCCATGGGAACACTTTTCTAATTCTTTACGTTTTCACAAACTATGCGCTTTTATTTCGAGGCGCGATTAGCAATTAGATGTTGACTGTTTTTTACCTGAAGACCCCAGGCTATTATGTTCATAAACATAGCCTGGCGTAATTGAACCCTCTAAAACGCGCAAATAGGCGCGTTTATGCGATTTTACAATAAAATCATCAGATTTAACAATCTAACTCAGCGCGCGGCTCTTGTAGCGCATACGTCATTCCTTTTTTATTGGTAGTTGGCGTGCACGTGATCTTTTGCGCAGCTGTAATTGGTTCTGAACGATCACGTGAATGCGAGTCACGTGCGCTCTAACATCCAATGAGCATTCGCACTTTTTTCTATTCAGGGCGATGGAAGTCGTAATTCACTCAGCCCGAATAAAGATTCGGCGGAATGACAGGCTGAGCGCCGCCCAGTAAACCGTTTTGTGTACATGATTATATGTTTTTAAAGGGTGATACTCGTCCAACTCGGCGCGCGTCCTGGTAGGTTACAGACCGACAAATATGTTTTTGTGTTATGAGTAAGCTCACAGGGGGAGCTAAAACTAGGTTTTTGATCAAACATTGCCATTTGTTGTCAAACGTCGCCAACAGTTGCTCTCGTCCAATGAAATCGCTGCATTATGAAAGCCAAGCTTTGCATACGAATATATGTAAATCAATTATGCATAATGGCAGGCAAAATGCAGCGATTTCATTGGACGAGAGCAACTGCTGGCAACGTTTGATTCACGATGTCAATCCTTCGCATCTCGCCGATCTGCATACGTGGTTGCGAGAAGCAATATTTGATGCGCGCGCGACCCAGTAGTGCATCGCGCTACAAGGCAACGTTTGACTACAAATGGCAGCGTTTGATCGAAAACCTGGTTTCAGCCCCCTCTGTGAGCTGTGCTGCTGTGGGATTGATTGACGATGTCAATCCGTCGAGATCGTTGCTCTGCGAAGCAAGAATGCTAGTTTGCGCGGCGTGTCGAAGCGGCGAAGTCCTCCAACTGTGTAGTGGGATTGTAAAAGTATGCTATACCAATGTATATGCTGATTTCGAATAAGCCCTATTTGCTATTACATAAAATAAAAATCATTTCTTGACGAGTTGTGAGTTAACGGGTGATACTCGTAAAATATCTGTTCCATATATTATACTCGGCGCGTCCTGGTAGGTTGTAAGCAAATACAAAATAACCATTTTTATCAGACGCGCGCCCCTGACAGGCTTGTAAAACGATATTTGTAGTGATGATTGAGCTGTTTATGCTTTTGGGTTGAAGTTAGTTTTGGTTTTAACTTTAGAGTAATCATGGAGATCATATAAATATTTGAACTACAAATTTGAGCACCTTAACTTTAAAATCGAAATCAGCATTTATAAATGTACATGTTGCTCTAACCAGAGCCCTCTCTTGAAACAAGCTCGTCACACAGTACGTGTAGACATCAGACTCATGGCTATGTGAAAAATGTATACATGATACAGAGCGGTCAAAAACTTGCTTTAACCAGAGCCCTCTCGGCTCTCGCTTACAGAAGCGAGCGTCACACAGTAGGCGTAGACACATTACATGGCTATGTGAACAGTGAAGTCAAAAACCGATTGCGCCCCTAAATACATTGCAAAAGATTCATGAAGTTTGAAAGAAGTTACAACAGTGCCCGCTATTTTAAGAATGTGCTTTCTTTGCTATATTATATCCAGCACAGGTCCGTATATAGCCGATTTTGCAGATTTAAGTTATGCAAAAATCAGCGGACCTAGCGGCAATATCGGATGGTTAGTGGAAACTAACGGATGTCTTACGGGAGCTAGGGGATGCCTAGCGGATGCCTAGCGGACATCTAACGCGCGCAATTTTGCCGCGCAGCATTTTTACCTAGCGGAAGAGAGCGGATAGCTAGCGGGATTTAGCGGGATCTAGCGGTGTATCATTTTAGTTAATAATCGGTCTGCAATCCATTTAGCTCAGCTGCAATCATTAGACCTCAAATTTATTCATTTTATGCATAGAATGATTAAGCCGTACATGATGTACATTTATACAAAAATATGTTGCATAATGTTGTTATGTCGATTAATCAAGTTATCACATAAACCGTGTCATGCGGAGAAGCTGAACTAGACTGGTTTGTCACCACCAGTTTTGCAGTATTGTACAGGTTACGAAACGACCTCAATGCATGTTATAATTCCATGATGTTGTATATTAATATATGGTATTATAATGTAGCGTATTGGTACGTCATCAATTGTATTATTATTACAGCTTAACTGATATATGATATGTGCGTACGTGCGCGTCTCTGTTATACTGCAAACTGAACTTTATTTTTTTGTGATATTGTAGGTTTATCGCGGCAGACAACTATTCAATGAGTGAAGTTTTCATTCTTTGCCTATCTGCGTCAGTGGTCTTCAAGGTCCTGGAAGATGTATGGTGAGTGATACACTGCAAATTAAACCCAACAATATGTTTTAAACTTGTAGGAGCTAGTGAGAGAAATAAATTTAAAAGAGATGAAGATATCACTATAAGAAAATAAAAAGGGTGTAGTAAGTATTCAATAACTGAAATTACTACCTTTAGAAGATTAAGACTAAGAGTGGGACTTCGTCCGAAATAAGGATTATACTGCAGTGTTCCCAGAGCTTATAGAGAGAGGAGGGGAGGGGGGCACTGCAAAGGTTTTCACCCGCATTTTATTCTCCGTTATGTTTGCTGTGAGTAAACGTTTACATACATGGTATGAATCAATTTGAAGACAATACTTTGAAATGAGACGAAATATACTAATTATATTTCAAGGTATGACTTGTATTTACCAGCGTTCATAAAATCAATTGTATCTCCGGAATCCATTCTTGGTCTCTTGTTGATGTTAGAGGACTCTGCAACATATGCTTTCGTCTCTTTAGACTCCAATGTCTGAAAAGATGCAGTTTCCAAGCGTCCTACAATGTCCTTGAGGTCCACGTCAAATCCTCTATCTCGATGAGCATTTACCTGAGATCGATACAGTGAATTTTATTTTAATAATTAGTAAAATTTGTATTGGGATATTTGACAATCTTACAGATTTTAGCATATTGTCAATCAACCTGCAGTGCTGTGATCTTTCTGTGTGAATGGTGCAGCTTCCTTCTAACTGCCTGGTCCGGATTGTCGACAACCTTGCCAGGTATCTTTGTTCGAACAAAAGTCTGGGGCTTACCCCCAGTCTTAAAGGTTAGTACATCCTTGTCTAGGGCATGGTGTTGGATCCTTTTCAGGACGTAACTGAAAGGAACGTATAATGTTAATTATAATTAACATTACAATTAATTATAATTATAATTAACATTACCATAACAGGAACACTGATTATTGCCAAATATATAGTAATATAACTGTATAATAATGAACTGTACCTTGCCACTGTCCAGAATTTTTCATCCAGTTCCCTCTCTATCGGGGTATCTATGAATTCCCCTACGGTCACTCCCAGATCGTACGAAAATTCTCCATACAGTTTAACATGACTCTTTACAGTTCTTTTTGTAAAGTTATTTGCAGACTTGCAGCGGTTACAAGGACAAATTTCTGTTTCCTTGTCTGTTTCCATGCTTGCTATTTGGAACGGCAAATAACTTTTCAATATTAACAACCAGCATTCATTAAGAACACTGCAGTACCTTACACAATACATATTGCAGAGTCACTTTATATATATTGTAAAGATATTTGATCTTAAAAACTCGATAACTATACTATACTACTAACACCAATCCAATATTACCTATATTATGTGAGTACAACAAAACAAATGTCAACACTGCACTTTTTCCACAGCATGCATTAAAAACTATAAAATATGTAATATGTACATGTAATACATTTATGTACATTTATCAAATATATCTGTGTTTATACAATAATGTATTGTATATAATATATATATTATAATGATGCATCATAGTTCATTACTGTACCCTCTACCTGTAACTTTCAATTCGGCTTCCTCCTCGTCGCTGAAAATATGTATTTTTATAACTTACAACTTGATTAAAACAATTTGATTAATGTTGAAAACTATGCACTGATTGGATACTGCTATATTTAACACGTTATTAATTAACCAAGTACCATATTGATTCTATCATTTGTGTACAAAAACTAACATTTCTCGTGGGTGCTTGATAGTGTGTTCTTGACACAGAGTGGTTTGAGTGGGTGCTCGAGAGTGTGCATGTGGTTACTCGGCTTGACATGCTAATTGATAACAAATTTAAATAAGAATTTTTCATTATAAGTTGAAGTAGTGAAGTACTGATAGGAACAATTTCAAAGGTATGCGATTGTGAAATTATATATATTGCACGCAATAGGTAAATATTGATGAATAAAACAAGCATTTCAAACAAAATAAAATTAAGCTACTACAGGTTCTTCCTCTTGATTAACCTTTTCCTGGGCCACGGTGTCTGGGGCCAGTGTCTGGGGCTGGCCGGGGGAGTGGGCGGCGGGCATGGTCTGGGCGGCGGGCGAGGTCTGGGCGGTGGGCGGGGTCTGGGTGTCGGGCGGGGGATTGCTGGACCGCTGGTATGGTTTGGCCCAACAATCCCGCACCAGGTGCCCAACCTTCTTGCACCTGAAATTAATTATTCCATTAGCCTTAATGATGTATCTTTGATTTGTTTTCTATACACATTGTGGTTAGACAATAGACATCGGTCATCTCAACTCGCAATTGTGAAAGGTAGAATATAAACATAAAAAACAGACTATAATTAGTAATTACAAACAAACTTACCTATAGCAGGTGCGTCTCCTCGGCTTCTTAGAAGTAGAACTAGAAGCCCTGTCCTGTTGTGTGTGAATATGGACAACAGGACAATTTGTTATTGTGACATTCATCCTAATAGGAAATAATTACATATTAAAAGCCTCTGATAATGCTGATAAATAATATGGATGATCAATTATTCTTGACATGTTTCTGGTAGGCAGTTAAACGTTACAAACAACTAATTTTGTTCAAGCACAACGAAATTATTTGAATCCACTAAGTTGAAGTACTGGTACGCAAGTTTCTAAAGGAAACTGTTCTGCAAGTGTTAAACAATATATGATTAATGCAACAGTACTGAAGAAATATGTTAATTCCTAGTTAAAATTTTGGTTGCATTTTGCAACCTGGATCAAATTCATCAACTCCATGACGACATATCCACGATGATATCGCACGGACTTCATATCCCAGCTCAGATCTTAAATTTACTCCGCAATCAATTCTCCGCGCAGAAACAAAAATTGTTTTGCTTATAACTTGCGCGGCTTACCTTAACATATTAGCATTGTAAAACTTGTAAAAATAAATTAGCTTTAATGTTTAAAGCTGGGGTAGTAATTGAAGTCACAATATTGAATTTGGTAAAACCAAAAGATTTGAAATTCATTTTCATTTCAAAATTTGAGAATAATGTATCATTTTTCTTTGAAATGTACACCACTAGTATCCGCTAGTTTGCGCGCGGCGTCCGCTAGCCTCCGCTAGCCATCCGCTAGGTATGAGTGCTGCATTTTACCGCGTCTCCTTTAGGCGTCCGCTAGTTTCCACTAGCCATCCGCTAGCTTCCGTTGTGTAACCGCTATATTCCGATAGCTGACCGCTGGTTTTTGCATAACTTAAATCAGGCAATACGGACCTGTGCCAGAGCCCTTGCGCTTGCAGTAGCGCACGCCCGCAGTGGCGCAAAAGCACATGGTTAGGTGAATGCTTTCTTCTTTCTTGGGAAAAACCTGCGGTTTTAAGAAATTAAAATCTTGCGCGTCTAAATTATTTGAAAAAGTATTTAAACATTGAAATTGCTTCCACGCCACGATCAAAATCTGTAAAAAATGGATTTTATTATTTGTGTATAAAGCAGATAATCCCTATAAAAACGTTTGATTATATGCAATATGGCGCCCTTCATATCATCCGTGGAGTGCATCGCGCGTACGTGATTTGTGACAACATTTATGGTCAATGACAGCCTTTTTTATTCATTATATTTTGCAGGTTTGCATCTCTTGTTTACAATTTAAAATTTTTGCATTTTGCAAGCTTCTTTAGTCAAGTCAGCTATAGAAACCGCAATCGGGGGAGTAGAGAGTTTGAAATACTTTAAAAAGTACTCAATTTACTTAAGGATCTCAGTGTTCATAAATGAAGATATGTAATGGCGGAGTGACAGGCTGAACATTAATTTAGAATATTGTCACATGGTCTGAAAAAATTCGCCAGATATTATATCAGGAAAAGGGCATTAAAATAATGCGATGGCGTATGGTAATGTAAAGAAGCCCAAAGACAGCCATGTCTCGTTCTGCGATGCAAATGTTGTTGCTCATCGCTATCAATATTTGATGAACCAAATTATTTATTTGTCTTAAAGTACAAATTACGTATTGACAACATCTCAAGAATTACAGTCATCAAGTAGAGCAAGTGGTACGAATTTCCTTGTGAAAGATCTACAGTAATTCATACGACTTTCATCAGTGTGTAGTTGTACAAAGTTGCTGAAAAATCGACTTTTTAGTTGTGTCCTTGTTAATTTATATTAATATAGTGTAATAGTATTTAGCTGATAGCCCATGACCATTTATCATAAATACTTATTTACAACTGAACAGTGGCGTAACATTGCCTGTTGGCGCCCCCCACTGAAAAAGCGCCTCCCTGTTGGCGCCCTCTCCCCTTCTGGCGTCCTCCCTAAAATTGAACAAATTATATGATTTTAGAGGTAAAATAAGCTGGTAAAATCTCTAAAAAAGCGTTTTCTTGAGCAAATGCGCAGTTTTTATAGTACAGTAGTATGTTTTAAAGATTGGTGTGTCCTTGTAAGTACTAAGCTAAGGGACTATGTTATTAAAGCACTTCAAGAGCAGAAGAGCTATTCTGAGCCTAACAGGTAGGAAGTTGAGCTTTTTGAGGTATGATAGGTTCATGGATCCTCTTTCCATAAATACCAAAGATAAACATGCCACGAAAGTGCGGACATGATGAACAGATGAACAGAACACTGCACCCATAACAGCTATTGACAGGATCATCACAATGCAGCTCCTGAGTGAGTTAGAGCCTTGAAATTTAGAAAGACGACTGTTTCAGATTCAGATGCAACTTGTTCTAAACAGTGATTTGTGCTTAGAGTTAGGAGCAGCTCCATATTAGGTCCCTAATTTGAATAAAAGTGAATGTGTTAAATAAATAAGTTATCAATATTAGAGGTTTTCTTTTAACTCAGATTTCAGAGCATCATATCACACAACTTAGAAATTATGTTATTGTCCATCCATAATATTGATTTTCAAAATAACACCTAAAGCTCCTCCACTCAAACGGTACTTGGTAACTGAACTGTGGTGTTTAGTGTATGCTAGATTGGACTCCTCTGATATTAGTAACATCATTTCAAATAATGAACCTACTCTGCAACCTGGTAGCTAAAGTGATTTAGCTATTATTATTTATGTATGAGCCTGTAAATCAAACCAATTTTTCCATGCTTTTATCACTTAGACACTTATTATTATAAAACCAATTCAGTGAAATGATAATTTATTAACTATGAATATTTGAACTTAATGTGTATTCATTGTGGGTATAAAATAAAATCTTTTTTTACTCTGTATCTCTTTCACCATCACCAATAATTCATGATATTATATAATGTGTAATAATCGACAATTTATTTTGACCTAGATGATTGCTGTAGTATTTTCTAATCGCAATTTTCATTCAGAAGATGATAATGACATAGCAATCTACTTTACAAAGATCTCAGACTGGTGTCTGCATACATGTCTTAAGTCAACAGTCTCGGTAAGCTACTTTATACTTCTACTTGGGGTCATACTAGTAGTATCATAATTAGTGCATTATATAACTTAAGTTTTTAGTAACGTTTCAATCATTCATTGCCAGATAGAGGATTCTGTTGATCAATGTTCGTACCCCTCGACGGCCCTCCGCTCCTCCCCTGGCCCTCCTCATCCAATACCATTGGATCTATACCTGCTTGTTACGTCATCACATAGAATTATAACTCATTTCTGCATCGTTTTGTCTTCTAAGCAGTAAGCATATCATTTACCTTTACAAACTGAGCTTGGCAAACATCTGAAAACCTCCATATTATTGCTATAATTTCATCATCAAAATGTGCAAAAATATCACATGTAATAATATATCAGACGAAGGACTGCCAAAAGTGCAAGAAATCAGGTCATTTCTCATACGATAACTTATAAAGCACTCCTGGTGTGATAAGTCTGGTCTAAAGTTCACGTTTCATAAACACACCACTGTTATAAGAGGCTATATCTGGAACTCTTGTACAATCTAGTGCACAACGAAATGAATTTGGCGTTGCGTTATCTATAAGTCTGTATTCAGAGAACTAATTATATTTAAGAAATATTGGGTGTAGCACACATTGCATCATTGCATTTCAGGCACACGATTTGTAATAGAATTTAATAGAATCGAGCTAAACGATTTTGAAACAACGAACAATCATTTAATTTCTCGTTATTATCATTGCAATAGAAATTGTGGTCACCTCTTTTCTAAGGTCATTTGTCATACAGCTGCTTGTGGGCATGGTGGTATTTATAATGGGTTACCCATAATACCGTTTTCTCACACTCTGTTGGTAATGGCCTTGCCTGCACTCGGCCCAGCGGTCGTGTGTTACTAAACGGTTGGGAATAATAACTGTTGCTTTTCCTAACCTCGTAACCCGTTTTACAATGTCTATTATATTGTGAGGTCTAGATCCAGTTTCATTTTAAGTTCCATCTCTGTTACCTGACCTATGGAGGAAATTAATCGTATTAAAGCCTTATTTGTTGCTTTAACGAGATTAGAAGCGCTAGATGAAGAACTACAAAAGCTCGTTCGTCACATTATTTACCAATGGGATGTGGTTTCCTGCCGTAATTAAAACAGACTTTAATAAATATCACATACAAGATATAGTAAAATTAATTCATACCAAAAATTCTGCCAATTTCCACATTTCCAGAGTTTAATAAACTGCTCCCAGTGTAATTACCAATATTATAGCATACAAATTACATTCACAATATACCGTCAGAACTGCTCTGGCAAGTAGCCAATAGCCATTGCGATCCAATTATATGAAATTAAGAAATTACGTGGATGTAGCCGGGGTAAATTCTTTTTGTTCTGGCTCAGATATACGGAAATAAGGAGCTGGGTGTACAAAGTGCAGGTTGCACTGTTGTAGGGTGAGGAATACTGCGGTCTGCGATATTATCTGTATTACCACATTATGACACAACTGTAAAATAATGGTGATATTGAGCGCAGCTTTGGAACATATTGTTGCATTTTATGATTATGTTTGTCTTGAAATTCTTGGAAAAACAGTGGACCACGCAGATTGTGCAGCAGATTGTTTACTGCAAATAATATTAATATTATGTTGTGTCGTCAGTGTTAGGATCAAGTCGTTCTTAGTGTTACGATTTATATGAGTTTATGTACCTTTTTAAATTTATCTTTACTGCATTATTCTTGGTACTTTAGTTCCGTAATTCTAATTACTCAGGACTAAAAATTAAGATCTTCCAACCTAGTGACCCTGACTTTCCTAACTAAAATACGTGACGTCACAGAATAGCCATAACGCACTGTTTACAACTGTATTCAAAGACAAGCGACAGTGTGCTCGTAGTAAATTACCACTGCAATTCCACACCCCCCACCGTTTAACTTTAACAAAATACTTAGAGAATGTGTGCGTGGTTATTGCTCGGTAGTGGTCCTTGTGACCACTGTTCTTAGCCTGCAAATATGTTTTAATCATTGTTTTTGGTAATGATCGTCTCCTTCATGCCAAGTACTGTTGTGACATTTGCTAATGAAAACGGCCATAGGAACGCAATTAACGAGGCTAATTGTAAACTCTCCATCTGTTTCACTGTTCATTGTTGTAATTAATTATCATGAGTTTGAAGGCTAATTATATATAATAAATAAGGACCAGTTGTTATGATCATGATAAATTCCTTGTCAGTCTAACAATTCTATTAAGTTCTTGTAAGAGCTCCAGTGCATTGTGCATGTTATTGTTACATTGTGTTTGAACACTGATTAATGACTGCAAGGAGAGAAGTCCAAACTTTGGTAGGTAGGTAGTAGGTACGGGACTGTATTTAACGTAACGCTGAAATTGAAGTATCAGTCAATCTCAATGAAAAGGAAGTAATCTGAGTCGGATTGAAATTCTGGACTATTCAGTAGAAATACACGGAGTGCTACCAACACAGTACGGGGTGTTACCGAGCTGATACTGATGATTAATTGTATTAGATAACAGACACTTTCCTGCCCAACTACATAGTGTTGTAACATGTACATATTTAGTACATCTCTTATCTACACTGTAGACTATACTACAAGTAACTAGTATACACCTAGTAACTCCTCCCCCTTCTTCCTCCCAGCACTCCTCTATATCCTGTATCTCCTCTGTGTTATCTCCTCTATTATACTCCTCTATCTATTCATAGCCTCTTACCTTTACTTGTTATAATAACGGCACTGATATGACTGTGGACCTCAGATTAAGTTGCAGTCGTTCTGCAACACTAGCCTAACATTATCTTACTAAACTAATTAAAATACACTAGCTATAATTTACTAATTTAAATATACTAATTAAGATGAAGCTAAGGTCATGGGTTTGGTGGCTCTTGACCTGCAGCATTATATAGTTATATTATTTGACTTAATACTAATTAAAAAAGATAAGGGTTTGGTCGTTCTGCGAGACCGGCACTGCATTATCCTTCTACGATAATTCAAATGGAGCCGAAGTGATGTACCGTGATAGTTCATCTTGGTTTAAATCCAATCACAATCCTATGTTAATGTTATAGCCAAGTTACTTTTTTCTACGATCTATTGTTTATGGTTCCAAGGCCCTTCTTAGTTTGACAAAGAAGTGTTTAATTATTTCATTGTGTACCCGCTTACTTATAACCTACTGTTACTAATCACACGTGTTTTGAGCTGTGAGTTGGTGGATAATTTCATAATAATGACGTAGGACACGTGACTTAGCAGTTAACACACGTGATTCAGTGACGTAAGACACGTGACGTAGGACACGTGATTCAGTGACGTAGGACACGTGATTTAGGACACGTGATTTAGGACACGTGTATCCACAATTTAAATTGTTACATTGTACACTCTCTATGTCTATACTCATCACGTACGCGATTAAAACTGGGCTTAACTCCCTCGCTCTCGGTATATTTAAGATGACCTGATCTGTTATTAACCAGCTCTAGTTTCTAGTCTTACAAAGTCTGAATATAACGGGCCCAGTTCAACAATATTTTACATTATCAGACTGCTAAATAGTATCACATTCAATAGAACTATAGTTGTCGTACAGCTGGCGGCGGAGGCTGGAGTCCCTCTACACACCATCCTACACTTACTGTCTACTTCACGGGAGATCACCCCACCACACCCCACCAAACCACACCTCCCGACTAAAGACACATGATTACTTGTGGGCTGCTGGATTACAGCTGCCCGGGTGTCTGCATGAAACACATTGTTACTTATGGTGGGGGGCTGTGCACATTGTACTCTAACAGAAGCTGTGTGTGTAGAGTTTCTCAGGTGTGCGTCCTGAACATCATGTGATGTTGGAGCACTGGGCGGGGTAGGATAGTATATCATGTGATGGTGGAGCACTGGGCGGGGTAGGATATAAATTACATGTAGTGTGCACCAGCTTGATGATATATAATAATTATTGATTATGTAGCTGTTACTTAGTTACTTATCGCTAATAATTATCATGGAACTACTCCTCTCATTTGAAAGATGTTGAGACATGTTTAGTTAAGATACAAATTTGAAATTGATCTGTATTCTGTAAACGTGTTCCATTTTACCACTGCCACGTAGAACAGACCTCGCACAGCGGGACTTATTGAAAATTTGGGATACAAGTTTCAGATCGAGGTAAAATATTTTTAAGGTGCTGAGTTATAGCTAAAGGTCTCTGGAATCTGAGACCTACACATTCAGCTATAATTGTAGCTTCGAGTGTAGCTGCAAATATGGCCTAGTCAAGTAGCTGCTGTTATAATTGCAGTGTGTAGCTTCAAATATGGCCTAGTCAAGTAGCTGCTGCTACAATTGTAGTGTGTAGCTTCAAATATGGCCTAGTCAAGTAGCTGCTGCTATAATTGTAGTGTGTAGCTGCAAATATGGCCTAGTCAAGTAGCTGCTGCTACAATTGTAGTGTGTAGCTGCAAATATGGCCTAGTCAAGTAGCTGCTGACTTGCATTTCAGATAAAAACCATGTAACCATCAAGCACTCGGTAGGATTAGTTCTTATATGGTCTAGGTATTCAGTATTCTCAGGCTGGGTGGTTGTCGTGCTGCAACAGTAAATAAAACAGGCCCATTATTTATATAGCTTATTGATTATGTTAAAATTGCAACTTTATCTTTACCCTGCGCAGTGCGCATCTGCAAATTATTTTCAACAATAAACTGGCGGAACAAATCTCAGATCAGTCACCCTATCATTGGAGTAGAGTATTGTAGAGTGTAGATTTTAAATATTATGTCAGTTGACAGTCTGGGAACGGAAGGTTACTCGAAACTAGAACTATGCCTTTCCTTGCATAATTAGCAGCGACAAGATCAAGATTCCCTAGCATAATTAGGTTGAACGAGCAGACGCGGACGGCTCTTTAAATATCTCTTAGAGCAGTTTAAACCTGCTCCAACATGTTCAACATGTCCAGCATGTTCAACAACG